GTTTGACCAACTTAGACGTCTCGCTCTCTTCCAGCTCGTATCACTGTACTGTTATCTGTCTCCATTTGTGTTGCCCATGCACCAGTATCTTCCTTCTTCGATCCTCATCCAAGTTTGAGGCCTCGCTGATGCAGTTCGGCTTGGGTGCAGTGGGAAGGGGGACGAGGCGAGAGGAGGCGCGAGGTTTTTGCTTGTTGAACCTACCTGGCAATATGAAATGACAACAGCTTTATCCTTATACATTATATGAGGCGATTGACTGCAATCAGAATCCTCCCTGTAAAGACAAAAAAACCCGTGATCTGCTAGAAAGAATAGAACTGTTCATTGGATATCGATGCAGCCTTAGGACGGGGGTTCAATATGGAGAAATGCAGAGCGACAGTGTATTTGTTTCAATTGAGCTTGTAGTATCTCGAAATAGCAAAATAACTTAGGAAAGATGGGAAGGGTGCGAAGCATGATTGCGTGTTATGTGAACCACTTCCTAAAGACAGCTCCTGCGATAAAAGTGTCATGGATAGTTGCTTTTCAATTATGAAACAGTAGCTGATAAGTAATCCCCAAAGAAGAAAAAAGCAAGAAGAGTCCTCAAGAACACCATAAACAAAATCGCTCCCTGACAGTCACACCGCCCTGCGGTCTCTGTGCAACCCCTGGCTCACAAATCGCTTTATCGCATCTCCCAGTAGTGGATATCATCCAATGCAAAGAAAAGAATACGAAAAAACAAAAACACGGACGAAAAACACTTTAAAAAAAGAAAATTTCAAAAGCTCGGCGTCCGAATTCGAGGTTACGGTAGCATGCATCTTTTAGAGCATGTCTGCACCACGAAAATAGCATCACTCGTGATTTTCGCGCGTTGTAGGTACCTTGGCTGCAGTTAGCTGCTTGTGCTCCTAATAAAGGAATGTAATAAAGGAGAGCAGAATTATTTATGGGCACGAGCGTGGTCAGCAAAAAGGACATGCAATTCCGATTAATGCCCGCCGCCCCAACAAAGAACAACTGAGCGGCCCTCCGTCAGAGGGCATCTAGCAAGTGGGCGGTCCAACTGGGCGGGCGTTAGAACTAGAACTTTCAGCGGCTGTAGCTCGCTCGCTCGCTGTGGAGTCGCGAGAGTGGGACAGTCTCTAGCTTGGGGGCTGTACTACTTGCACAAGGAAGGACGACCATGTACTACTCGAGCGCGGGGGCTGTCTTTATTCGTGTTGGCTTTAGGGCACCGGATTTCACGTGGGCTACGAAGCTGCACATTTATGACTATTTTCGGTTCTACATTGCCTGTTGTCGCCATCTACGACCTGGAACCATCGTCATTTGCGGGCGCGACGTCGCACGCGACGCCCATCCACGCGGCTAATTACGATTCTCTTGTCACACCGACGGTTTCACTTTGATATAATTGTGGTTGTGTCTCTGTTCAAAACAGAATATGACAGTTGTCTCGAAATAGAATATCCCACGAGTAAACCATTCTGCGTTATGTTCATGCCACCCCTACTCCGTCTAAGAAACTAAAATCGCGCTTGAGAGCCAGCACAACACCGAGATGGGAGAAATGGCGGTTTTAAAGCTCACCCCACCCGCACTCCCTTCTCCTTCAAACTTCTTTCTCCGATGCGACCACCCTTTCCTTCCAACCTATCACCTTTCCATGTTTTCCGAACATCGCACCATTCCCGTTTTACCAGTTGTCAATGAATCAACCAGTTTTGACTCCGCAAATTACCGCGACATCCTTAGCTTTCGGCCAAATCCGCTTCTCCAATCGAGCTTAATACACTTTTTTCCCCATTCTCTGCGGCTGCCCTGGGAGTGAACTACGAGTGTTTGTCTGCAGCACTCGGCGCAAGCTCCGCCCACTGTGGGCAGGCGTATCTCGAGTGCGCCCTTCAGCTCTTGTTCATGCCCTATCCATTTTAACCTTCGTTCGTCCGACCCCTCGAGTCGCCGAACGAATTTCGGACAACAAACAAACAAAGAGACAGAGGTAGTGAATTATATATAGTGGGCGATTTAAAGACAGCCTCCGCGCTCAAGTAGTACATGGTAATCCTTCCTTGTGCAAGTAAGTACAGCCCCCCGCTAGGAGTGTCCCACTCTTGCGACTCCACAGCGAGCAGGAGCCAGCTTCAGCCGCTGAAAGTTATAGTTCTAACGCCCGCCCAGTTGGACCGCCCACTTGCTAGATGCCCTCTGACGGAATGCCGCTCAGTTGTTTCTTGTTGGGGCCACGGGCATTAATCGCAATTGCATATCTTTTTTGCTGACCACGCTCGGGACCCATAATTAATTCTGCTCTCCTTTATCACGCTTCCTTTATTAGGAGCACAAGCAGCTAACTGCAGCCAAGGTACCTACAACGCGCGAAAATCACGAGTGATGCTATTTTCGTGGTGCAGACATGCTCTAAAAGATGCATGCTACCGTAACCTCGAATTCGGACGCCGGCTTTTGAAATTTCCTTTTTTTAAAGTGTTTTTCGTCCGTGCTTTTGTTTTTTCGTAATATTTCTTTGCATTGCGATGATATGTCACTACTTGCGGAGATGCATTAAAGAATTTGTGAGCCAGGGGTTGCACAGAGACACCGCAGGGCGGTGTGACTGTCAGGGAGCGATTTTGTTCACGGTGTTCTTGAGAGCTCTTCTTGCGTTTTTTCTTCTTTGGGGATCACTTATCAGCTACTGTTTCATAATTGAATAGCAACTATCCATGGCATTTTTATCGCAGGAGCTGTCTTTAGGAAGTGGTTCACATAACACGCAATCATGCTTCGCACCCTTCCCATCTTTCCTAAGTTATTTTGCTATTTCGAGATACTACAAGCTCAATTGAAACAAATACACTGTCGCTCTGCATTTCTCCATATTGAACCCCCGTCCTAAGGCTGCATCGATATCCAATGAACAGTTCTATTCTTTCTAGCAGATCACGGGTTTTTTTGTCTTTACAGGGAGGATTCTGATTGCAGTCAATCGCCTCATATAATGTATAAGGATAAAGCTGTTGTCATTTCATATTGCCAGGTAGGTTCAACAAGCAAAAACCTCGCGCCTCCTCTCGCCTCGTCCCCCTTCCCACTGCACCCAAGCCGAACTGCATCAGCGAGGCCTCAAACTTGGATGAGGATCGAAGAAGGAAGATACTGCGTCGATGCGGCAACACAAAGGGGAGACAGAATAAAACAGTACGTGATAACGAGCTGGAAGAGAGACGAGCACGTCTAAGATTGGGTCAAACACAGTAATGGACGCCAACTGTCAACAGATGTGATACATAAATATAAGACGTCAATATGCATATCTCCATGCTGACCCGGTGACGAAATTCCATCGGTCTTGGCTGGGTGTGACGGCCGCACGTCGATGTCCGATTCATCCCACTAAAGCTCACGAAGATGTGACAATCCTCTAAGATAAAGTAGACCAGACCACTTGGTAAGAAAAGCGCTCATGTATCATGATTAATGTTGGGAAAGTGTCTAACATGAGCATTGCTCTTTATATTGTCAGCTACGACAGCTATGCATTCCACCACATCAAGAAGCGAGGCCAAGCAAAACACAGACGTTTCAAGAGAATAAAGTCCGCCAACGGTTAGTGAAAAGACAACAAGACGCCACTTCAGGTGTACATGCGGCCGCTCCTCCGTTGATGGAATCTTGCTGTTGGCCGGAGTCACATGAAAATGTCTCCGTCCAGTGCTAGACAACATGGCAGTCGCTCCGAAATAAAACATCCGAATATGACGAAAAAAGCCTTGGCCATACTAGAACGAAGTACGCAGCCATGCCCCCACCAACTCCGAGACATAGATTGTACGTATACGTATTATAGATTACCACCCCAACTGACAAATAAATGGAGATTAGGTCATGAAGCAGTGATATAGGAGAAATGCTCATATGTCATAGAGAGTTCACTCAAGTCTTTTCCCCGCGTGATTTTAACGCTTTACTGGACACGTTTTTCAGATCCCTCCTCCCGTCAACTGCATCCCCGTCTTGGGGAGTCCCATACTCATGGCTTAACTCTGGGTAGAATCCCATTTCGATTCTGGATATCTTATCACAAATGAAAATGTAAGAAAAGCACACTTGCACAAGCTGAGGAGGCAGCTGCAAAACGAAGGGCGTCGTTAGGGTAGATCATTGAATTCGACGCGTTAGTTTCTGAAAAAAAATTTCAAATCGACGTCTTCACAACTTCAAACGCGGGATACAACGACAAGTTAGCTGGCGTTCAGACTCCGCGACGGCAGGGCTTCGGTTGCGCTTCGATTCACACTGCGTCGATCACGAAAGTATGCGCGATCGATGCTATCGCAAAGTCTGAACGCTGCCTTATGGGGGAGTCCGAATTCGATCACTACTCCAAACGTTGTGGCCCTTACCTCACTTGTTCGGCCCGCGATTGCTGTTGAACCCCTCGTGTAGTGAAGGTCTGCTGTTGACCACATGGACTACAAAGCACGACAATGTTAGACGACTGCGAACGGGGACATCGCAATTATCAAGGGTACTCAACCAACTGCGATCTGCATGACGGTGCCATGGACGACCTCTTGTACAGGCTGCTGTTGATGAACTTCTTGCATAGAGCTTACTGCCGTACTGCTGTTGATGCCGCTGTTGGTGAACTGCACCGGTTCTGGTGTCAGAGGTGGCGATACGCCCAATATGGCCTTTTCGAATGGACGTAATCGCTCCAGCAGTTGCGGCTTCGCACCTATAGATAGACAGTTAGAGAGAAGTGAGGCAGAGTAAGATAGGTAGATAGGAAGAAGGATCAGGAACTCTGAAACAGCTCTGTAAAATCCCACTAGAAGGGTTCCTTCAAGCTTGCCGAAATATGCAAATGCCGACTGAACATGAACTAGCCCAACGAGGTGGTGTGAGAGGAATGGGATGAAAAACAGGCGATGACATACGAATGTCGGCAGAAAACACTTATGCGGTCACAGCGAGCACGCACCCACCACTACAAGCAAGCATATAATCCGAAGATTGTGCATCTAGAAATGACTAGATCTTACACGGAGGACCCCAATAATGTTATCCCAGCAATTCGTAGAAAAACTTTGAAACTTTCGTCTTGAAACTCTGCCACTGATGCTACTTTAATAATTTGCATACCATTCGTATGTGGAAGATCTACTGAAAGCTTGAACTTTCAACAAATCGCCTCCAGGTGTGTATTCTAAGCCCTTGACTTAGTGAACACTTTCACTGGCGGAATTTCAGCATATAATTCCTTCGCCAAGTCTTCGCTTACAATTCATAAGCATCTAACAGGTACAACAAGCAATATATTCGGATCTCTTACCATACC